CTTTCCCTCCATCTTTCCTTGTCTTTCTTTTTCTCTTCCTTCTTTCATTCTCTTTCTTTCCTTCCTTCGTTCCTTCTCTCTCTTTCCGTCCCTCTTTCCTCCTTCTGTGACCCAACTCTCTTCGCTCCCCCCCCAGACCAGCTGGGGAAGGGGAGGCTTTTGAAGATGCCTCCCCCCCTTTTGCTTCCCCTTCTGACATCACTTCCGGTAATGTCAAGGGGTGTTGCATATGCTAATAAGCTATTATGCTAATAGCCTAGTAGCTCATTAGCATACCATATGCTAATGAGCTCCTGCAGCTCTTTTTCTGGGGACACCTCACATTTCCCTACCCCCAAACAGTCACTGGCTGCAGTGTACTGTATTCTTAATTAATGCAGGTGTCTGGTTCTGTGCCTGCTTGCCTGTCTCCAATTACTTTTGGAGAATATGGCTGGCAACCATTGGTTTAATTCAGCACAAAATTATAGTCATTTCAGTGACACTTCAGTACACACAGCTGTATGCTGAACTGCATCCCTCTTGAGCAGCAGAACTGAAACTTCCTGACTCATAAGGGACAGTTCTCTCTCCCTTCACACAAATAACTCACTAAACAAGGTCCATATTCAGTGCTTAACTGTCAGGTGCAAAAGGAATTCTAGTTGCTCATTAAGTCCTAAGAATTGGTCATTACTCTTAAATGGAAGTAACTTAACGCTTAGTTTCAAAACGAGCTGACTATGCAAGGTGGTAAAAAACTTGTGTGCTCCAATGATCTCACGCTTGGACTACTATTCAAAGATTAACAGTGGAATCCTAAACAAACTGATATCCTCCTACACCCACTGATTTGGGTGTACTTAGAAAATTATAATCCTGCTTCTGACTGCACTGCTGTTGTAGTTCATCTCTCTTTATATAGTTGTGTTTTGGATTGGCACTTTGCAGCTCTCCCATTGGTTGTGCAATGCACTCCCTCAGCCACTGGCCCATCAGCTGCCAATCAAGAGTACTTGCATGCCATTGGCCGGGTGCTGGGTTTGCTCCTCTTCCCTGCCCACTCCCCCTTCAGCCACTGTGCCCTGTCAGAATTACTAGAAAATAGCTTCTCCTGCTTGCCTCCTGTGTGGGACTAACTTTCCCCTCAGTGGCTGTTGATAGGTGTAATGAGATGGCAGTTAGCTGTGTTTGAAAGATGGCTGCCATCTGTGGTTGTTTGCCCCCCAAAAGGTTTAATTGAGCTGTAGTTCCAGAGAGGGGCCTGCAGGGGTATCACCCACTGGGTTGAATGGGGCTTCCTCATCTTCTGGCCTACACTTCCCAGCTGCCCCAAGGCCCAAAAGGGGTGGGGCAGCATCAATATAAACTTCAGCCCATCCAGGAAGAAGGCAGTCTTTGTCCTACAGGAGGTGTGGAAAGGCTCCTGCTGCCTGTGCTGACCAGACCACAAGCCAGAGACTTTGGGGAACCCTGGGAGAGTTCTGATAGTTCCTTCTGAGTTCAGTTTAGTGATAACAGCTTTGGTTGTCTCCTGTTGAAAGCATAAATGTTGCAATTTTCTGCTTGAGAAGCAGAGAGTGTAGATCAGCAAAATATAAAACAAGTGGCCATGACTTGTTGTGACTGGTAGTTAATTAATTTATTTAAATTCTTATGCTCTACTCTTCTCCCAAATGAGGACCCAAAATGGCTTATAACCTCATTCTCCCTTCCTCTATTTTATCTTCACAACAGCAATCCTGTGAGGTAGTTAGGCTGAGAGACTGTGACTAGCCCAAAGGCACCCAGTGAGCTTTCATGCTAGAGTAAATATTTGGACCTAGATCCTAGTCTTGAGACACTAGCCACTACCACACTCTGCTTAAAATGGTACTCATTTAAAATACCTGGAGTGGGAGGTGGCTGCTGCTTAGAGAGTCAATATTTATTATATTGTGCTGTGGATTCTTAACCTGACTCTTATTGTACTCCAGATCTGTGATTACTATTAAAGATATTCATTAAATAGATGTGGGCCATAATTCAAAGAAGTAATTTGCATATGAGTAAAGAGAAAATATCATTAATCTTAACTTTTTTTGTTCTCACAATAAAAAAAAAGAAATTAGCAATTTAAAATTTTGTGTTTTTCATTCTTCCCAGAATGCATTTGTGTTTGAAAATTGGTGGGTGCACGGGGGGGGGGGGCAGACGGTAGCCTCACCTAGTGTGCAAAAAAACCTGGCACCGGTCCTGTCTGGGACGGTAAGGTTTGGGCATGCTGTAGTGGTTTTTGTTGTTCCACAATTTCCACTTGGGCTGCTGGGCCCTTGCCTCGACTCAGCTGGGAAGACTGAGGGCACATGCCTATTGGTACACTGAGCCTGTCCGCTATTGCGGAGAAGCCCAGGGAAGTGGGGGGGGGATGTTTAAATGCCTTTCTTTCCCTCCGCAAGATCAGGGAGGGAAAGAAAGGCATTGTAGACTTGCCTGCTTCCCTTCCTGATCTTTTCCAGGTGCTCCACGGCTGCGGGGTAGCTGGAGAAGATCAGGAAGGGAAGCAGGCATGTTTGTCTGGCTGCCCTCAGTCTCCCCAGCAGTGTAATGGAAGTGACATCTTCGGAAGAGGAAGTGACATCACTTGCCATTTGACCTGGAAGTGACATCACAGGAAGTGACATCACAAAAGTATCCTGGCTCCACCCCCAAAGCCTCCTGGCTCCACCCCCAAAGTCCTCAGATATTTCCGAATTTGGACTTGGCAACCCTAGGCAGTGTGATGTTTCTCTGCATGATACTAGAAAGTGAGCCCCTCACAAAAGTTTCACTATGCGATACAGCATAGTCATATAACATATCTTGCTTATTTTGACTAATGTTTCACAATGCTTCTCACCCCCAATATATCTGACCTCCCTTCCATTACTCTGTTTCTTCCACAGCTGTTTGCCTTTTCATTTTTGTTTAGTTTGATTCAGTGTGCAAACACACCCATTCAATTATAATTACCTTACTAGTTCATTTTGGAAGGGGGAGGATCCTGCACAACTACCATTTACTTGCAACACAGGAATCTTCTTTAACATCACGACATTGGTTATGCAGAAATCTGTGCAAAGCAAACTTTAGTATTCCCTCACCCCCAAGAAAAGCCTATGTTCTCCAAGATGGAAATGATATGAACTGTAAAAGTTTAAAGACATAGAGACAATGGGAAGTGAAAGGCCAAACAAGAGTAGCATAGAGACAATGGGAAGTGAAAGGCCAAACAAGAGTAGCATAGAGACAATGGGAAGTGAAAGGCCAAACAAGAGTAGCATAGAGACAATGGGAAGTGAAAGGCCAAACAAAAAATTAAAAACTGCAACAGGGCTCTAGTACAAGAACATGCAGCAAAAGATGGCAGACCAGAGCTTTACATGAGGTTGGAAATGTTTAACTTTTAATATCAAGGTGGATCAATGTGGTGTTTGTGAAACTTTTGTTTGCATATCCGTAAGAAATATCAGCCATGACAGCCAATGTGATGTGGCAGTCAGGGCTTCAGAGCATGGTAGAGACTGCACGTGCGGGGGGGGAAAGGAAAGCTGAAGAGTGAGGGGGAAATAAAGATAGGATGATTGGCTGGGAATGAGATAGGGTTGCCAACTCCAGGTGGGAAATTCCTGGAGATTTGAGGGATGGAACATGGAGAGGGTGAAGTTTGAGGAGGGGTGGCACCTTAGACAGGTACAATGCCATAGACTCCACCCTCCCTGTGGCAAAACGGGGACCCGCCCTAAGCCCTGGGAGACTGAGCAGCCATTCTGTGGCTCGCAAGCCCCTGTTTTTGCCTTCCCACCCTTCCTGGTGGGGCTATTTCCCTTCGTTACACACGGCCATCACTCACTGAATGGACACCCCCTCCTTTTGTTGTGGAGAAACCCCAGCCCTCCTCGGGACTGGTCACTTGTACTGTTACCCTCCTGGCTGTCCACCATGGTTTATAGTGGCCTGGATGCCCTGGAGTCTGTGGTAACAGGAGCCCCACCTGTACGCTCCCTTGAAGCCGCTGTCCAAGCTGAGCCGAAGGGCAGACCAGGCTGAGACTGAACTCCCCCCTCAGGAGCCAAAGCCTTTATCTTCCTGGCTCCGCCCCTGGGGTGTGTCCATATTTTCCTGCTATTTTCCCCAAAGCTTCTGGGAAGTGTAGGCAGGGAGGTATGGCAGCTCCGTTGTTCCCTATGGAGTACCACCCCCCTCCTAAGGACTACCAGGCTGGCATCCATTTTAAAATACACTGCTGCCTCTACCTGGCAGCCATTTTGTTACACTCCCAACCAGCCATTCCCTCCTGTGGAAACACTGTTGCCAATCTCCAGGTGAGGGGTGGAGATCACTCAGAATTACAACTGATCTCCAGGAGGGAGGGGGGAGGGGATGGAAAGCTGAAATCAGAGGGGCAGATAATGGCAGGTTGCTCCTTTGCTGGGAAGGAGATAGGGTTGCCAACTACAGGTTGGGAAATTCCTGGAGATTTGAGGGGGCGAGCCTGGAGAGGGTGAGGTTTGAGGAGGGGAGACACCTCAGACAGGTAGAATAACATAGACTCCATCCTCCCAACCAGCCATTCCCTCCTGGGGAGCCACTGTTGCCAATCTCCAGGTGAGGGGTGGAGACCACTCAGAATTACAACTGATCTCTAGGAGGGAGGGCAGAAGTCAGCTGCAGTCAGAGGGGCAAATAATGGTAGGTTGATGGTTAGCTGGGAAGGGGATGGGGCTGCCAACTCCAGGTTGGGAAATTCCTGGGGATTTCAGGGGTGGAGCCTGGAGAGGGTGGGGTTTGAGGAGGTTGCCACAGCAAATTGACACTGAGTGCCCAAGGCCTTGGCATTCTCCCAGAACCTCTTTCTAGAACTTTTGTATTTATTCCCACAACGAGCCTTATTCCTATTAGTATAATATAGTAACATTGGATGATATTGTGTAGCAGTTTTTTCACAATTTACTTTGCTCACTGAAATTAAAGACTCTTTAAAAATATATGACTTTCAAAATTACAAAAATTCTGAATCTTTATAAAAGATATAAACAAGGCTTTTGATTTGCTTAAATGACTAATTTCAGAACAATTTTCACTTGCCACTCAATCCTGCCTTTCTTCAGCACTACATCAAATGTGTTTATATGCATGATCATTTCCTATGTTTGTTTCAATTTGGTTGACACACCATGAGCATTTTCTTGCAGACTCCAGTATCATTTCTTGGGTCTGATTTATAAATGAATTCTAGCTAAGGTTGCACCAGCCCTCTTCATGAGAAGTAAGCTACAATCCAGTCATTTATATATTTCTTTACTAAACTGCAGCTGGTATTCTGTTAATAAGATGTTCAAAAGAGCACAGTCACAGGCACATATAATTGCATGCAAATTTAATTTAGTATGCAATTACACTCAGTTGCAAAGTAATTTTCTTAAAATTTAGCCACAAGCATCATATGTATAAATTCATCCCAACTATATATCTCTTATTTCCCTACCCCTTGTGAGCCTCGAGGTTACTAATACAGTAATATACATCCCAGAATAAACTATTTCCCCTTCCTGTTGAATATTACTTATTTACCTTCCAGGTTACTCTAATGCTTTGTGAAGATATGGGCTCAAGCTGAACATCCTGAGGTGGTCCATCAGGAGCTGGTGAGAAATGGAAAGACATTATCAACTTGCGGCAGTTTTCTCTTCCATTAAAGAGAACACTATGTTGCATCATATTCACACGCATAGCAAAGGGCTTTTTCCAAGATGAAGCTAGCTATGATGAAAAAGCTAACTAACCACTGAAAATATATTTATTTGTAAACTGTCAAAAGCAAGCACAATTTAACAGATCATGGCTTTGCTAAACAGCTGAGGAGTTGCAATCTAAGTGTTCACTGCTGGCAGCCCATGACCCATGAACTGTCTGTGTGTTGACTGAATGCATGGAGAGGGGAAGCAGGCCCACTGCATCCAAGTGATCATTGGCTCCTGAGAACTGTGCCCATGTATGCAGACAAGTCAGCATGTACGCTCGTTCCATGTTATTGGCAATGTTTGGTAAGGAGTATTACTGATTATGGGAAGGAATATATGTGAGGACACTTCCTTTGCATGACAACTCAGGGATAATATGGAGGGGGTGAAGCCACTAGGGGCAGGGGCAGCATGCTTGTGCCCACTCTCCCTCTCTGCACATTCAGTCAACACATGAATGCAACAAGCTTAGAGGGATTTATCTTCCTGTAGAAACAAAAGAATGCATCAAAGTGTTAAGTGTGGTAAGAAATTTTAGAAATATAGAAGGTTTGGGTTTAAAAATGAACCAAATAGTGTATAAAATCAATGTATCTGTCCCTAGCAAAACAGCAAACAGGCTTGGCCTGTTTCACTGAACCAAACCATGATTCTTTGCAAACCCTTTGTTCCAGGCAAATCTCTTTCTTGGTCACGCACGCAAAAATTCACACATTCCATTCCCAGAATCTGAATCAATGTAAAATTCCACAGGTGTGAGACCCACAATTTCCTAGGCCATAAACTGCAGCTGGCAGGAAAGGCCATTTGGGCAGTGACAGACTTCAATCCGGTAGGCAATCAAACTCCTGAGATACAGGAATTCACACACCCCATCTCAGAGATAACATCAAAGGACAGTTTATTTCCCATGTTGGGAAACACCAGGAAAAAACAATGGCACTGTATTGATCCTGTAAAATGTAACTTTTGTTGTGTGAGACTCAGGGAAGCAATCTCCTGTAAAACTTCAAAATGTTAATTCACAATTGTAATCTAATTATTGGGGGACCTCTTTGATCATTTGGTATAAATACTGGTCAGGCTCAACAGACCTTCGCTGGCTCTTGAAGGATCAGGAGAGGTTTTACTGTCCTGAGACTTTGGGGGTCAGCCCGGATGGCCTTTAGCTTTCTGCATGCTTTGGGTGGGATAGAACTTTGCTTGCATGTTTATTTTTCTGTGTATTCACTATCAATATTTAGGAAATAGGAGTCTACTGTGTTGGCTAGCTGGCATAGTGTCTTGCTGGCCACCTTGCCAGGTAAACCTTTGAATGTTTTCCTTTTAATAAAGATAAGTTTTATTTTAAGAAGAGACCTTTGAGTGTCTCTGCCAGTGCTTAGCGGTTTCCAAGCTTACACCTCTGCCTTTGGTAAGGAGGCAACACTCAGGGGACACACGAACCAGAGGGGGAGTGTGGGTGGCACGGGTAGACGCATTCACAGACATGTGCAGCCACACATTTTCTCACAACATTAAGCAGAGAAAGATATTGATCTGATAAACTGAGAAAGATATGACAAAAGCAGCAAAACAAGTTTGATGTTCTGGTTTACTTAGGACTAAGGCCATACCTATATCAGTTTTCAATCACACGGCAACTTACATGGCAAGACTTCAACAAAACTCTAGTTCTACTTTCTGAAACACTGTTGTGGCTGCTTTAATTTGTGCTTTATTGGTGTTTTAGGGATTATACTGATTATACTGATTTCACCCTAATGTTTTGATTATGGTTTCGATTAAGCTGCATTGGATACGATGCTGGATCTCACTGCTTCTGGCTTGCTTATTCTGGCACTGGGGCCATCTCAGCTTCTCCTCCTGCAGGTACCTTTGCCACTGCTGCCACCACCAATGTTCCCTCTATCCCCCCCCCCACTACTGAGCAGATAAGATCACATCCCAAGCAGAACATGACTGCTGTAATCTTAAAATGGGCAATGGACAGTGTGGCTCCAGACTGCTGCTGAGTGGGGCTTCCTGTGTTAATGAGCGGTCATTCATATGCACAGCTTAGGGGGAACACTGACCACCATTTCTTCATTCTCTTCCTACTTGCCAGTATTTGTGTAGTATTTTTAGTTGTATACATCTAAAATGCTGCCCAGACTCCAGCGTTTCGTTTGTGTGATATTTGTGCATTTTGTGATGTTTTTGTATGAGAGGGAATTGACACAAAATGGCTGCCAGCTTGAAGCACCGGGGCTGAGCATTTTCTTTCTCTTCCACTGTAGATACTGATAGCCTCAGCATGGTGGGGACATGAGACCCCCAGGTGTGAGCTAAAGGGCAAGAGCTGATGAGTGGTTAGTCTGCGGTTTCATCCAGTGGCCTTTGTCAGTCAGTTTGCCCTGGTGGGCATTAGCCCAGGATATCTTGTTTAATTTTGTTCTTTGCTTTTTTATATACTATGTAAATTTTTTCAAAGTATTTTTTGTAAGCCACTTTTGGTTTCCATTGGGACCGAATTGTTGTTTATGACTCCAGTTGCAAGAACAGTAAAGGCAATAAACAAATAAATAAACTTAATAAAATAGGTGTATGTTCTTTTTGAAGCAAGGTTTTTCTTTCCCCTAGGTTTGCAAAACCATAAATGGAAGTCATGGTTGGACCCACTGTGCAGATCTGACTATTTGAAAAGGCACCAGCACTTGGCTACTTGATACAGTGATACTGAAAAAAGGAAGGGCACGTGAGACCTCAACAAAATTGAGCAGAAAATATGTAGAAGGGAAAACACAGTTTGATTATCTTCTTGCTGCAGGAACCCTCTTTCTGGGTCTTTGAATAAAAGTTGTTGGCAGCCTGAAGCTACAACAGTTTATCATATTCAGTGCACCTTTGCCAATGTAGTTTCCCTCCCGTACCCTTCCATTTAATATTTAATGCTGTTGTGTTTGTAAAGCCTTCATTACATTCCCTGCCTCGGGCATCTCTCAGATGTTTGGGAATCCATACTCACTTAACATGCCTGAGGGAAAAGCAATGAGCTAAAATAAAGAATGACAAATGGTGGCACTTCCATGCGTGTGCATGAGGTCCCAGCTGATACCAAGGCAACCAGTATTATGGCTCTGCTGAAGGCTTGGCTTTTCTCCTCTGGTTTCACCCTGAATAAATCAGCAGCTTTTGATGATGGTTCCATTATAATTGACCCTTCACTCTGAACGGACAGCTTCATAATGAGAGCAAAGAAAGGGTCAGTCATCTTGAAACTAGGTCACACAGCGGAGAATATAACATGACGTTCAGGTTGCTCGTTGTTAATGGGAAAGCTAATCTGCAAATTAAGGTCAGTTGATTATGCTGGCATGTTAATTTTCAGTCAAATGAAAGCCCACAGATAAGAAATACTACTAGTCAATTAAGAAAAATAAATGTACAGCATTCTGTGTATCCATTTGTGTACATGGGGGATTGAGAGAGGGAGCAAACACAATGACTGGCAGAATAGCAATGTGTGTATGTGCAGAAGACACACACAGATTTGGAAGAAGGTGACCGTGAACTAAGTACCTAGTAATAGCTTCCTATGTGAGAACAGAGCCACACGGAAAGGAGATAATTTGTAATAGGAAGCATATAATCCAAAATTCCCCAACATGGTGCCGGTGAATGCCATGGCACCCACAGGCACCTTTCCTGGCTCCCACCAAGTGTTTTTTAGAAAGTAGGCCAGGTCAGGTGGGCCTTTTGTCCAGAAGGGCTTCTGATCAGCCACTGGAGATCTGATTGACTGTGCAGATTTTTTTTAAAAGCCCCCCGAGGGGGGAATTTTTTATTTGCATTTCTATAAAACTACAACAGAAATTTGGGAGGGAGAGTCTACAATCTATAGGAGAAAGTATAGAAAACCTAACTAAAAACCCAAGAATGGAGGTTTTACAATGCTTAAAACATAGTTGTTACTCTTATACATTTTCTTCCAAACATGAAGAGTGCCCGCCAATCATCGCTTCTGCTGACAAAACCTGCTTATCTGACTGAACGGAGAGTAATTACAAAGCTATAACACACATAATCACAGCCCTTAAGAAAAATTTAGCATCTTCACGCTTTACTCCCCCCCCCCCAGCAAATTCTTTGAAACCAAAGTTCCCTCAGTAAGAACATTACAACACGTTTTCCTTCTTCCGTCTTCAATGTATCTTCTTTCTTCAATTATCTTTTAGTTTTTATAAGTCCAGATCTGTCCATTCATGTTAATGTAGCAAGCCCTTTACTTGAAAAAAAACCTGCTTTTCAATCAGCTTGCCAGTCCAGCCACAAAGAACTAAACTTAGAGTCTCCTTGCCATTCATACATCTCTATGATCAACGTACTGTCCCTTTAAAAGTGTAGCTGTTTTTAGTACAGATCCAGATCGCTTCTCAATTTAGCCACCAGAGGGCCCACGATTCACTTTAAAGACAGAGTCTATGGTTAGGTCACAACCTAACTTTCCACTGTCCTCCTTCGCCTCTCGTCGCCATCTTTTGGGGATGTTTACATCAGTCGAGAAAGAATGCCAAAGTCTCTAAGGTCTGTTTAAATGCTCCGCTTTCTTTTAGAAAAACTCTCCGCTACAGTCCATCGCCACAGTTTGATCAGTCCCTCCCTCCTTGCTTTCGCATTTGCTTAAAACATTGGGAGATAGGGCGTCCCCTCCCCCCCTCTGTTTATATGCTTGTAGTAGAGGGACTTCACTTCTAGGCTTTAGTGTCTCGTTTCAATGACAACTCACTCATCAATCCTTGAATCAATCCAGCCAGGTCATAAGACGGCCCCTGGGATCACGCCAGGCAGAGAAAATTGCTAAACCTCCAAATGCTTGTTCCAGTGGTCGCTTCTAATCCAATACTGGGAATCAGGGCAGGACCTTCAGGGCAGAGAGTAGCCCTCCTGTCCTGGCTACCGGCCGGAGGTAGGGCTCTCCAAAGCCCCCTGGCTAGAAGCCCATTGCCTATGGGCTTCATGGGGGAGCGTGCACAATCACGCTCCCTCCTAATCCCTGATTCATGGCACACGTCTCTCGGAGAACCCCAGAGAGGCCTCCAAAGCGCCAAAACCGGAAACTCCGACTGTGCAGATTTTTTAAAAAGTTGCTTTGGCAGCAGTTGCAACCCCAGTGCAAGGATCTTCACTCTGTGACTGAAAATAAGCTGTTTGTATGCAAGCAAATATTTTTAAAACAATATGTCTATTTTAAAAGGCATTCTGTTAAACAGAGCTTCAGCTTGAAATGTTGAACAGTTACATTTTGCAACTGGTTCTGCCTCTTGTGGCAGCAGCCATCTGGTGGTGGCGACCACTATCCAGTGTCAGAATTCTAATGGTACCCATGGCCTCAAACAGGTTGGGGACCCCTGATATAATCACACGTGTATTAAAATAGCAATAGCCAGAAAAGTGTTAGAGTGTTGGACTACAACTTGGAAGGCCGTGGTTCAAACCTCCAGTCTGCCTTGAAGTTCAGTGAGTGACCTTGGGCCTGTAAGACTGTCTCTGTCAGCCTAACCAACCTCACAACATAACACTGGGGAGGAGGAGAACTATGTACGTTACTTCAAGTTCCTTGGAGGAAGAGCAGGATAAAAAATGAATAGATCTATGCTTCATAGCCATCTGGAAATTTGGAGAAGCTAGGGGCACAGAAATCTGGTGTGGAAGGCACTGCCAGAGGCAGTGGCTACTGACAATAGCTCCATAGTTGCATGTTTACAGCTCCCATACGGTAAGCTTTTAACTAGTTACTCCATAGTTCCAAGTTACATAGTTTATCCTTGAGTCTTAACTCTGAATTTAATGGACTTTTTACTAGTGCTTTTTTCCCCTCTTTGTGAAGCTTCTTCTGAGTAAGTTCAGCTAAGATTGTAATGTGAAATGCATTGCTAATTAATAATCATTATCCTATACTGGACACTTTCTTCAGTGGAGGTAGTCACAGGTCCAGTGCCAGGGTTTTTTGCACACTAGGTGAGGCTACCTTCTGCCCCCCCCCCCGCACAAAGCCATGGAGGGACTTCATTTGCACTGAAGGGGAGAGAAAAAGGATGGATCCTATTACTACAGACTGGCCCTGGATTTTTGCAGGGCGCCCCGTCAAGGTCCAAACCTGGCACGGAAAAGAGAACTCACGGGGGTGCAATTAAGTGCGGGCCAACCTTAGAGAAGTCAATGGGGGCACGCCTACTTTCTCCACCTCCCTTGGCTCTTACGCACTTACACCTCTTCCCCGTCACAGTCGCCAGAGAAAATAAACATTCTCCCGTTGCCTTTGCAGACTCCGGGCCAAACCATCTCCCTGAGGGGGGGGGGCGTGCGCCAGAGACATGTTTGCAGGGCAGGGAGAAAGTTTCCAAAGCCACTGCTGCCTGCCTCCCACTCCCCCTTTCCCATCCCCAGCCCGCAAGCCCCGCTCGCTCTCAAGGGGAGTAACCCAGATTGGGGGTTTAAGTGTACTAGGTGGTCACGGGACTCTGAGGGGAGGCACGCGTGCTGCCAGCTGCTGTGCACAATGCAGGGGGGTTGCTCACCTGCCTGACCCTGGGGTGAGCTGCGCCCTACATGTCTGTGTGTCTCCAGGAGAGCAGGCGGGAGGGAAAGCAGGCAGTTCTGCGCTCCTGTGAAGTCTGCGCTCTTAGGACACCACGTAACTTCGCCTAATGGGTAGTGCCGGCCCTGGGTATTCATCTTTTCCCCTCATTCTCTCACACCTGTTCTCTAATCCCATTTTCTTCTTTACCATTTTAAATTCCAACCCTATAGCTGAATTCTTCTGTAACAGTAGTGCTTAAAAACAAACATTACTTCACAGGATATCTTCTAATTCTTGTGTTTCCCTCTCAGACAGATTGCCCTTCCCCTAAATAGGAATGGACTTCCTTTATTTAAATACAAAAATTGCACCAGCTATAATCCAAACTTAATACTTAAGTATACTCTGTTATTTATTTTGCCCTGACCTGGATGGCTCAGGCTAGCCTGATCTCATTAGATTAGCAGGTCAGCCCTGGTTAGTACTTGGATGGGAGACGAATAAGGAAGTCCAGGTGACTACGCCAAACCACCTCTGTACATCTCTTTGCCTTGGAAACCCTTCAAGGTTGATATAAGTCGGCTACAACTTGACAGCACTTTCCACCACCATTATTTATTTTAAAGGTTGCTATGTGCCTCATGTTAGACAGCGAAATTTGAAATAAATTTCTGGAAAGTCCTCTTAGAGCTACCCAGGCCTTTTCTTTGCATCATACACAGCAAAATGCCCCATTTGAGCTTCTTTTAATCTGTTGGCATTGGACCTGGTGGCATCGGACCCCCACCAATGCTTACCACATATAATTTAAGATTAAATTTAGCTGGGGAAAATGTAGACCTTACCGGCTTCATCTGTGGTGATGGTTAGCTCATTGCTGGCCTCGCTCTTGCCAATGCGGTTTTTTGCATACATGCGGATATTGTAGGTGGAGGAAGCATGGAGATCAATGATAGTGGCCTGATTCAGCTGGGGGGAAACATCTTTGGTTCGTTGAACAGAATCCCAGGAATCTATTTAAAGAAAGCATGGGAAAGAAAATCAACTTTTCCGCCATTCCTTGTTTGTTTCACTTTAATAGTTAACTAAATCAGCAAGATAGCAAAGAGCATGACAAACTACATTAAAATAATTGGGAAATTATCTGTCCTCTTCACCATTTTGAGTGACTCAAATGCTACAGCAGGGGTTCTCTGGGAGGCAAAAATGGCCCCAGAAAGGGCTATGCCTCCCAGCCTGCCCTAGCCCTGCTCCCCCCAATAGAGGGGTGAGGGAAGGAGCAGACTCGCCACAGCTCCCACCTGTCTTGTGCCCACTCATGTTGTGGGGGGCAGGTGCCACTGAATTGTGACTCTGGTGGCTTCGACCCCCTTCATATCCACCTGCATTGTTCAGGGTGAAGACCACCTGCTTGTACCTATGGTAGCCCCTCCCCAAGGGCCACCAGCTTGTGAAGGCTCCCGCCCACTCTGTGTGAGGCTGTCCCAGGCTGGAACATGCCCAGTTGGGGGGCGGCCCTTCAAGACATCAGCACACTAGAATGTTCTGGCCTACCCACCCTTGTGCAACACGGAAGATAGATTCATACAGGTCCCCAAGAATTGCTATGCAGGGACAAGTGCACATAATAGTACCTTTTGCATATGAATATACAATGGAGGTGAAGGGACTAGATTTGATTGACAGAATGCCTGAAGAACTATGGATGGAGGTTTGTGACATTGTACAGGAGGCAGCAATCAGCACCATCCCAAAGAAAAAGAAACGCCAGAAAGCAAAGTGGCTGTCTATTGGCGCTTTACGAATAGCAGAGGAAAGAAGGAAAGCAAAAGGCAAAGGTGAAAAGGAAAGAGTTACCCAACTGAATGCAGATTTCCAGAGAACAGCAAGGAGAGATAAGGAGGCTTTCCTGAATGAACAATCCAAAGTAATAGAGGAAAACAATTAAATGGGAAGGACTAGAGATCTCTTCAAGAAAACTGGAGATATCAAGGGAACGTTCCACACAAAGCTGGCCATGATAAAGGATAAAAACGGTAGGAACCTAACAGAAGCAGAAGAGATTAGAAGGAGATGGGAAGAATACACAGAAGAACTATACAAGAAGGACCTCGATGTCCTTGACAACCACGACGGTGTGATCACTGATCTTGAGCCAGACATCCTGGAGTGCGAAGTCAAATGGGCTTTAGAAAGCATTACTAACAACAAAGCTAGCAGTGAAAATGTGAAGCCCAAGATGGTCAAGCAAAGCCACTTCAACTGATGTAAAAGTGTGAAACAAGAAATTAGTATTTAAAAATAATTTTTTATTTTATTTTCTACATAAAACCTACAAAACTACATACTAACTAAAATTACAGCTATACAACAACCATAAATGATAATAATTGTTATCTTAAGTCAAAGTTTTCTCTTATATCAGTTAAGAATAAAAATTCTATTCTAATGTTTTAATATGCATAAAATTAAAATTGTTAACAATGCCTTTGTAGTTGAACATCAAGCCTTCGGGTAGTATTCATCAGTAGGTTGTGGAGTTTTTCTGTAAATAGGTGGTTAAATTCTTGTATAGTTTTCTCTTCTTCCTTATCTCAAATGGAATATCTTTTAGGATTCTGATATCTTCTTTAATTTTCAGTGTAGTCCCAGATGTTGCCTTCAGTATTGCATCTCTTTTAGATCTCTTAAGGAATCTGATGTATATTTCACCAGGCAGGTTTTTCTTCTTAATAAATTCTGAATATGTCCGATAGATCATATCCATTTCGCTTTGTAGTACTTCCGCCTTAATGCCTGTCACTGGTACAAGCGCTTCACTAGGCATTTCTTTCAAATTCTCAGATTTATCTTCTGGTACACCTTGAAATTTTAACACGTATGAAGATTTTTCCATTTGTAGCTGAAAAAGTTGAGTTTTATCTGAAGATCTTTCTTTTTTCCAAAACTTCCAATCTTTGATCAATTGCTTTGGTCTTGTTTTCCATGACTTCTGTTCTTTTATTGGATTCTTTTAGTTGTTTTTGTAAAGACTCCAAGGTCTTGCTGATGTTAGTCATCTGTGCCACCAGATTTCGCAATGCAGTATCCAGCATGTCTGCAAAGTCAAAGTTCACTTCCAGTTTGGAAACTGGACGTGTTGAGCTGGCAGTTCCTTGTTGAATCTTCACTTTCACCACCATCTTTTCAGGCCAAAAAGACATGTTTATGCTTTTATAAAAGTTCGCTTAAGTCTTTAGAAGTTAATTCACTCTAATGCCTTTACAGTCTGGCATTGTACTGGTTGAAACCAGCCATCTGCTTACGTGCTGCTGCTTTCTGCCCCCTAATGCTTTTAAAATTTATTTGCCATTTTCAAGGGGTGGGTAGCTTCCCCCCTCCCCTTTTTCTTGGGGGCACCTGGGCTGGCATCTTACTCATGCTCCGCTTCGTCAGGTAAGAGAAAATCTTTTTGTTTTCACCCAGTCAGTTACTCGCTGGTCTGGTGTGCTCGTCTCATGCCCAGAATGGTACCGCGGTAGCGGGGACCTGTCAGGACGGGGGGAGCCTCAATCCTTTGGCCTTGGCCTTGGGAGAGGCACCCCCAGCACCCCAGGCTGAGAGCCCCCTTCAAGGGCTCCAGGGGGAGTCCAAAGCCAGCCATACGCCCTCCCTGCCACCGCGTCTCGGGCCATTCTCTCCAGAGCTTCGGAGGAGTGCACCCACCATCATCGCGCCAAAAACGGAAGTCCAAGAAATGAGTATTCTCATAGAACAGAACAACATCTGAGTGTGAGCAAACTCAAACATTCAGTAAGAGGCAGAGCAAAGTTTGGGTCCAGTGGCACCTTTAGGACCAACAAAATTTTATTAATGGTGTAAGCTTTTGTGTGCAAGCACACTTCTTCAGTATCTGAAGTGCTTCAAACCAACAAGGCTACCCACCTGAGTCTATATTCAGTGAGAGAAAATGTGCAGCCATGTTAGGATTAAAATGTGGAATTCACTACCAGAAGGTGTAGTGATGGTCACAGGAAAAAGGGGTTTGAAAGGAGATTAGACAGATTAATGGAAGATAGGTCTATCAGTGGCTACTAGCAATGGTGGCTGAAGGGAACCTCCACATTCAGAGGTACTAATTTTCTGAATCCCAGAGCCAGGAGGCAATATCAGGGGAAGGCCTCAGCCTCTATGCCGTGTTGTTGGCCCTCCAGAGGAACTGGTTGGCCACTGTGAGAGACAGGATGCTGGGCTAGGTGGACCACTGGTCTGATTCAGCAGGCCCCTTCTTATGTTCTTCTTATGTACTTACCCTTGCAGACTACAAGTGAAGGATTATGTATGTGAATATCCCTTCACACCCCTACCCTGTCAAAAATGCTATGTACATGGACAGTTAGTGTACAAAAGTTTCCAGCTTCGTGCTAGTTTTCTTATGCGAGTGTTTTTAAGACACACATTCCGACATGTAACCTCCCCACCCCATACCTGCTGCTTGAAATCATATAGTCCCACTAATACTGTAGCAGTTCCATTTTTGTAATGGTTGGTAACATCAGGACTTTTTTGTGCAAACTGTAAATGAGATGTGAAACAGCTCTGGGACAAGTGTTTCCCTCATTTTCTTTTTCCATTATAGCTGTTTGTGAAAAGCTCTCTCACATGCAATTTAGAAAGGCTGCTTTATTTTTAGCTTCTCAAATTCCTATAAACATAGGGGATTCACAAAGGATGAAACTGATGAAATCCATTTACCATGAATAAACATGGTACAGTATTTTTCAAAATTATTTCTGACTCCTGAACATGTCTCTATATAGCAATTTACCTTGCATGCTTTGCCATCTAGTGGTTGTATGTAGAATAGCATTTTTGAAACATACATAGGAATTCTTTTACTCTTCTCACAGTATGCAGTGCTGCCCAGTCTGCATCTAGCATTTGCTCTGCTGTTATACCAAACCCACACTGGAACAGAAATCCCCATCTGCATTGCATGCCACTTTCACTTTGATTGAGAGTTGGATTTTATGGCAGTGTCCAGACTGCATGCTGCTTTCACTTTGTTTGATCTCTGGTTTTATGGTGGCTGTCTGCATAGATGTATAGCTGTTTCATGGCCATTCGGGGGTGACTCTGCAGTTAGTATGGTGTTGGCCCCGGGTAGATGAATGTGGTTTTGAACTGCATCTTTTTTTGTTCCAGTGTGGGTTTGATAAAACAACTGAGCAAATGCTAAATGCAGATTGGGCCTTATTAAAGTGATGTTTCCCAACCTATGGGTCGGGACTAAAAAAAAAGTGAGTTGCAAAGCCTCTGAAAGTAGCTTGCAGGGCAGCCCACTGTAATGGCAGTTCCTGTCCTTTCTATCCTTCACTTTCTTTCCTTCCTACCAGTGTCTCACATTCTCATCTCCCCCTCCTTCGTGACAGTAATGAGAAAAAAGGCAACAGACTAGTAATTTCATGGCAGTAGCTGCAAGGAGGGGGGGCGGGCTGGAGAGTAAGTGGGAGCTGTTCAACATCCCATGGGGAAACCAGAGAAGGATTGAAAGAGGTGGGGGGGGCTCTATCGATGCTGCTCCTTCAAGCAGCCCAACCTCTTGCCCAGTACCCTACAGTGCCTCATCGCCCTCTACCAGCTGTAGGAGACGTACTTGCGCCAGCCTCTTCACTGTCATCTTCGTGTATCGCCTCAACCCAGCGCTCCCCAAGCATGCCTCCTCAAACTCCACCTCTGGCCCAGCTGGCAGAGAAGAAGAAGGTTGGGGTTCATAGAGGGGGAAACTGCACCCTTTGTGTGATGTTTGTTGGTTTCTCAGAAACATCTGGTTGGGCACTGTAGAAAATGGAATGCTAGAATAAGTGAGTGCCAATGTCATATCTTGCCTAGGGCACACACACACACACACACAACCCCTTGGCCTAGCCCTGGATGGGTCACCATACAAAGTAGATTTGGATGTGTGAGTCATCCTCCTAAAAAAAGTTGGAACTACTTTAAAGCACTCTAAGTGCTTCACATACACCATCCA